TCAGAGGACACAGGAGCAAATACTGAGGACTGGATGGCTTGGGGCCCAGAGGACACTGCATGCCTAGGCCAAGAGCAGATGGCGGGGCCGGGGCGCAGAGGTGCACAGCTGGTGGCTCCATGGGAGGCGGCGGCACGCGAGGCCGGGCTTGGTCCCACTCCTTGTGCACACTGGCCACGGCTGCCCCCGCCCTCGCCAGCTGGGCGGCTGGGGCAGGAGGCTCACTGCCCAGTGACTCTTCCTTTCTCTCTCCCTTCCTCATGAAAGAAAAAATTGTGTGTGTGTGTGTGTGTGTGTGTGTGTGTGTGTATGGGGGTGGGGGGGACGTTGGAGCTGGCCTCGTGCATCTCTCTTGTCCCAAAGCCCAGATCGTCACAGGGATAAGGAGGGCGTTGCCAGGGTGGGTCCGGGTGGGGAACCCATGACCGAGGCGCGGCTAAGAGCTGGCCAGGATACCACCCAGCCTAGTTCCCCTTCTGTGCCAGTGGCAGCGCTGCTGCTGGGGGCCTGCAGCCCTGACCTCAGGGGGACCCTGGACCGGCTCCTGCCACTTCCTCTCTCGGCAACTGCAGGCTGTCCCTGGGGAAGAAAGATAAGGAGGCCGGTGGGGACTGAGGCGAGGCTACTGGGGCTGTCTACTCCTGGCCAGGAGGAGGCTTGCCTGTAGCCACCAGTCCAGGAATCCAACCTCCTGCCTCCTCAGGGTCCCCCTGCTGCCGCCTAGGTCCACCATGGAGCTACCTCAGCTGACCCTGGTTCCAAAATGGCTAGCGTCACCTCACACTCCAGGGCGCCAAGCAGCCTTCATCTAAGGGTCATCCTGCACTCGGGGTCCTTTGGCCTCACCCTGCGTCCCTCAGGGAGTCCACTTGTCCCCTTTCCACATCCTTAAAGCAAACCGGTAGTTGCTAAAGCGTCTCGGAGCTGTCGCAGCGGATTACTGACAGCATGTGTAGCCACATCAGAAGGAAGTGTGGGTGCCTGGGCCCGCTGCTTGCACCTGGCACCTCAGCGGGGCTGCCGGGACTGGACCTGCCACCCTGGTCCTCAGTAATGGCGGTCTGCGTGGCTTTGAGCTGAAGCGGCGGTAGGTGTCCAGGACGCGCAGAATAGATGGCGGGGACGAGCCAGACGTCGCTGTCAGAGGGGCTGTGAGCTCTTCCACCTGCTACCCACCCAGCCGGCCGCCCGCTCCCTACCACGGTCTCCTGGGGCCGGCTGCGGGCTGGTGCATGGCTGGGCTCCTCCTAGGGAGGCTGCTTGGGCCCGGCTGTGGGGGAGGCACTCAGGTCTCAGGCCAGAGTACGGGAACCCGGGCAGGTCGGGGCAGCACGGAGCTGAAACTGCACGCACCAGGGTGGACAGGACAGTGCCGTCGGAGCTCAGAGTGCAGAGGACCAGCACCGCAGCTGGGCTTCCTCTTCAGCACACCCATCTCAGACCCAGGTTCCCAGCCCCAGCCCCTCCTCCCTGGACCCAGGTTCCCAGCTCAGCCCCTCCTCCCTAGACCCAGGTTCCCAGCCCCAGCCCCTCCTCCCACAGACCCAGCAGCCCAGCCCCACCCCAGCCC